CTGGTCTTGCCCTTGCCACACGACACCACTCTGGGTGAGCAGCTTCAGTCTGGCAGCTCCTGCCCACCCAGTACATGGGGCTCCAGCTCCAGCTCCCAGCCACCTTCCGTCCCCTGACCCAACCCACCCCCACAAAGCTGTCACTGCCTTGCAACCCAGCCCCGTGATCCCAGCCTCACCTGCATCTCCTGCTCCTGAACTTTGCGCCCTGCCCGCCCACAGCCCCATAGGGAGTTTTGGTGAGTTGTTGCCAGGGGAGTGCAGGGGGACTGACCAGCCCACAAGAGCTCATCAAAACTCCCCATGTGGCCCTTAGGCCCAGATAATTACCCACCCCTGCAATAATCATTAGTGCAGCATCTTGAGATTTGTTTGACAGCACTCTTTGATTTCCTCAGTGCCTTCAAACATCTGAGGCAGTGCGTTTGGCTTTCATAGATGGAATCAATTCATGTGAGTGTGCCTCAGACTAGTCTGGTTTCTTCTGACCTGCTTGTCAAATATAGTCAGCAGGAAAATAGATCATTTTTTGAGACTTCCCTATTTCTCTTCTGCAGTCTTACACAACAGCAGCTCTTGAGCCTCCTGAAGCCTCTTGACCTTCAAAATGAGGTACCCTTGAGAGCAATACTACAGATTCTTCAAATCTGAGAGTTGTTAACTCTTCCCTTAGCTTATTGGCTAGAGTCAGTGAGGGAACTCATAAACACAGTATTATCACAGGGGCACAATGCATCAGTATTTAATAACCTTTGCAACAGCAGGACATAGGCCACTATTGTCCCTCTGCTTTCCTTGTGGCAGGTTGGAGCGTTTTGTGGTTGTGACAGGGTTGACTGTGTAATTTTAGCAGTGGTTAGACAAAGATTTTCCTGAGATTGTTTGATAGGGCTGATCCTACCTCAAGCAGGGGGTTAGACTAGATGACCTCTTCAAGTCCATACCAGCCCTACTTTCCTATGATTCTATGATTTTGATATGAGGGCTAACCTATACCTCCTGCAAAATGTGTCATAACCAAGATATTGGAGTGCTGAGATCTATTTTTTTCTTTAAATTCTTATCCCTTACTGTGGCTGATTTGTATTCCTACATCTGTTCACTCTTTACTTTGCAGGTTACTTGGTCTTTGTTTTGAATGTTCAGGCCACTAATGATGAGAAATATTAGGTTTTGTCCATTGCTATTTGAAAAGTACAACTGTTTTTGAAGGGAAGCCTGCAGGAAGTAGCCTTTGTGTAACTATGGGTATCACTTAGACATTGTTTTGCCTGCATTTAGTCTACCCTAGATATAGGAAGAATGCAATTGTATATGCTTACAGAACTGTTTATAGATATTCTGATTAAATTGTCATGAAAAGGCAGAGCTGGCTTTTTAAATATAAAAAAACCCCTTATGCATCTTTGACTAACATCTTCATTATTCAGTTTGACAGAGCTATATGATGAGTTGGCATAACAATAAACATGTCAACCAAAAAGTGCTTTATATGCCCAACTAAAATATTTGGATTGGAAGAATTAGAATCAAAAGTTCCTTTGTTCCTATTATAATATGATGTCATGGAAAAGTGTGTACTGTTACAGCTTAAAAACACTGCTGGCTATTTGTTCCAATACTGGGAACAAAATAGCCTTTTATGAGTCAATGTAACTAAACTGAAGCAATGTAAATGGTTTACTGATATTATTAGCATTTATTACAATGTTGTTATTTAATATGTATCAGATTGTTAACTCATTGCTTTGAGGAGGAAAACCACAGCTAAAGTTCCAGTCTGGTAGTTTTCTGAAGATAACGTGCATAATTTCATTTCAGGGCCCCCACCTTCCAGTGAAGTACCAGTTGGCAACTATCCATTCATGGTACAATCAGATGATAACAGACTTGTGCCAGTTGTACAAGCTTATGCGTTTGGAAAATATCTTGGCTATTTAAATGTTACATTTGATGAGAAAGGAAACGTAATCCAAGCATCTGGAAACCCTATTTTGCTTGATAGCAGTATTCCTGAAGGTATGTAAAAGAGAAATTTGGCTTTCTGTGGGTTACCTCACTGCCATTTTTTCTTTATTTTATTTTAAAGTTGAAGTGCATATACTGGAAAAGAATGTAACATTCTTCTCAACTTGCAGTCTCCTTTGGCCTGTTACAGAGGAAAGTGTTGAAACTTCTGTGGTTTGGCAGGTTAAGACGAGACTGGACGAAAACACTCGTACATGCAGATATAGGGAATAAGTCTCCACTGGCAAGGAATCACCTGATATCTTGTTCCCCATTTCAAGGTTTTATGACTGAGTAAACGGTAATAAATATTGTAACGACTAGAATCCACTTTCATTTAATTCAGAAAGACTACAATAGGTCTTCATGCAAGAGACGATTAGTATTCTATGATTGTTGATGAGCAACTTTGTGCTGTTTCACGGGTGCACAGGAGTCTGATTAATGGCAAACACGTTTTATCCTCATACTATATTTCTATTTTAGCTCCAGATTTGAAAGCGGAAGTTGACAAGAAGAGAATACCACTAGATGAATATGCTTCCAAGGAGATTGGAAAAACTAATGTGTACCTGAATGGTACAAGTCAGGCATGCCGTTTCCATGAATGCAACATGGGAAATATGATATGTGATGCTATGGTAAGAAACAACCACTACAGATCATTGTTATATCTAAATTAATATGGGACAGCTTTGGGATGGTTCAGGACGCTTAGATAATTCTCCGTGTCAGAGTTCTTTGCTGTTCTTCCTCACTGTAAAATCCAAAGGTGAGATCCAGAGAGGCAACTGAGGCGTTTCCAACTTAAGTAGCAAGACACCTCAAAATCAGGCCTAGGTGAGTGAATTAAAGAAACACTGGGTGTGTCTACATGTGCATTAATGCATCTTTTCTAATGCGCATTGAATTTAGTACCTCCAATGTGAGGTACTAAATTAATATGCATTAGATTGAGCTAATGCGCAGTAGCTCATTTTCATGGTTTTTCAGTGACACTTAAAGCTCAGTAGACTATTTTACTGGGCATTAGCATACTGTCATTGTTTTTTACGTGACGCTTTAATGCACAGTAAAATAGTTTACTGCATATTAAAATGCACACATAGATGTGCCCACTGTTAGGTTTAGGTGAACTCCCTCCCTCCCTTTACTGTCAGTGAGGAGAGTTTGACACCTCTAAAGAATGTTTCACTGTCTAGTTACAAAATGGAGACCTGCTAAGATCAAGACAACAGGAAACACTAAGCAAAGAGTGTCTGAATCCTGCCCCTCTCCAGAGTTTCAGTATCTGACTTGTGACTGCGCATTAAAGGCTTCCATTACCTTTGGCTCCTGAATTCAGAGCTGTCTTCTGAGGGTAGGTGCTTAATTGATATGATGGTGCCACCACTGCCATCACAGCTCTTTTGTGTAGTAGCCAGGTGGTTAGACCACTTGCCCAGGAAATAGGTGACGGTTCTGACCCCACCTCAGCCTACAGAGGTTCAGTGTCAGATCTCATCCCACCTCCCCCAGGAGACTGCCAGTTTCAAAATTTTCTGGAGGAAATCTCCACCATGGGTCAGTGAGCATCCAGGAGTGCAAGCATCATGGGGTCAGAGAGATAGTAGGCAAGAAGTGACCTGATTCTGTAACCTACTGGATGAACTCAGAGAGGGAGTCCAAGGTTGTAGTCCCTGCTCCCAGAACTCATATGCCTGTTGGAGATTAAACAGTCATCAGGTACAAAACAGAAATAAACCTGGGAGCAGTGACCAGAGCCTGTGGGGGGAAGGAGGCAGTTACCCAGGCTATTCAGGCTAAGGAGGATCTAGAACAAGGCGGGGCATAATACAGCCCACAGGCGAGATCCAGCCTGCTAACTGATTGTATCTGGCCCTGTGGGTGGGCAGCCACAAACTCATGGGATCCAGCCCAGGGGTGGCTGGTGGCTCTGGCTCTTGCTGCTGTGTGGTCCTGGATGAGTAGGGCTGTTTCTGCGATGCTGAGCAGATGGCTGGGGTTCTTCCACCCAGTACTGACGTGAAGGTATCAGCTGTGGCCCTAGGCAGATGCCCCAACCCCTACCTGGAACCTGCCAGCTGCTTCCACAGTTGATGCAGGCACACTTGGGGCTGCTTCTGCTACACTGGTCCCAGCAGGATGGGGATTGGGCCTTGCTATAGGTCTGGGTGAGGTGGGGATCAGAGCATGCTCTGGGCGGGTTCCAGGCAGGTGGACGGGGTGTGAGTGAAAGAGCAAGAGAAGTCTAGAGCCCAGGTCTCTTACTTCCTAGGTGAGTGCTCCAGCCCATAGAGTATTATGCAAAATAGCAGTCTCCACCCCTGTGCTTGAGCAAGAGGCTAAAAACAGATGGGGTTTAGCCTGGAACTGATTGTCTTGACTGTTTTTGACAGTCTCTCCCGTGCCACCCCACTGTAAATACAGCTTGAATAGCAGGTAACTTGCATTAGCCCCCGCCCCCATTTTCCAGGGTAAGAGTGTTATCTTGGTACTTGATAGGTCCTTAAAAAGTGGGACAATGGGGATGTACATCTGTAGCATCCCACAATAAAAGACTTTGTCCCAGGATAAATCCTGTGTTTCTTTTTAGCCAAAGCATCTGTAGCTGCTGTACTGAACTCTGCTGGCATGTTAGGTGTGCTCAGAGCCTGCCAGCCAAATCAGACCCTGCTCAAGACTTAGGCAGAATGTAGGCTCTGCTCTGCCTCATATGTAGTTTGCCTGGGAAGCTAGGCAGGAGTTGCATGCCCAGCTTCTCTGATTAGGGCATGTTTTTGCATGTGCAGGAACCCAAGATTCAGCATCAGAAGGAATGTTGCCACGCTCCAGAGCTGGGCTGAATGGAGCTTTCCTCATTTACATTTTAAACTTAGTGGCCTAGAATGTACATAAATACTGCTTTTAAGTACCTAAATGCCCTCTCTGTAAAAGATCAGCCATCATTAGGTCCATAGTTAGCTTCATGGAATTTTGTGACATCATAGATTTTATAGATTTATATTCAGGGTATCCCTTGTGTTCTGCGTATGTTGAGAAGATCTGTTTGTTTTTGACTGTGGGAGGAATAGGAATAGCTCTCGCTTTGGAAACTGATTTCAATGGGCACCAAGCACTTCTACCTCCCATTATGGTCAGTGAATGTGTCCAGCAAGTGCTCTGCCTATGCAGATTTCAGGATGGACTGTTTATAGTGAAGCAAACAAAACAATTAGCTTCAGAAATTCTTCAGTTGTTGTTTGTACTTGGGACATAAAAGCAGAATGGATCCCACGAACTCCCTGTGACTTTGACGCAAGCTAAACAATTTTGTTTAAAAAGTCCTTCAAGTGTTTACTTTCTGTAGGTCTTCCAGCACATTTACTGGCATGAATGTGCATTAGGCAAATACTTGAAGTGTGCATTCCATACTATGAAGAGAAAAACAATTAGTGAGTTTTTGTCCTGGAAACTTGGCTGAAGAACTATGCTTAGCCTGCTTACATCATCAGTATCTTTTATACATTAACCCCAAGGCCAGCTTTCTATTTGCTTGGCAGTATTCAAATTCAAGAAGATTTGAACTAGAGTAAGATTTTGAAATACGCCCAAAGGTATTGCTGTTATATGGTGTTTAATGTTTTTACTTTTTACTTCTATTTTCCTATTGTATTTTTATAGTGTATTAGAGAATGCTGTCAGGGTAACCTGGTGCTAGTTTTATTGAAACAAAGCTAGTTGTTGCATCATTCTGATACGTTTCTTTTTTAATGTGTATTGCATTATTTTACTAGAGACAAATTTGAGGGTCAAATCCTGTGCTCCATTAAGCACTCTCCCCCTTGTGCAACCAGTTTGACTTAATTCATGGTCTGATTTGACCCATCAATCAATAGGCAGATGGATTGATCATTTCCTGTCAGATAAAGCAAGAATATAGATGCTTTCCAACAACCTTTTAGTTCTCTGCCTCCCCAGAGTCCCAAGCCCATGCCAAATATTAAATGTAAGTGGTACAGTTCAAAAATGTCAATAAATTAACAGCCTTGAATGACTGGTATTAAATGCAGCCAACTCAGTGATGCACATTATAGGGACCTGGTGAAGGCTACCTGAAGCCTGAAAGCTTGTCTTTTATGTTTCCCAACAGCATGAGAAGGTCCAATACAAAAATACTCTCTCTCCTCACAAACCTTGGTTCCATCATTGGCTTAGTTACTAACTACTACGTAAGATTCTTACAGTGATGTGTGTGTGGTCTTCCCCATTTCTTAATTCTTCAAATATATTAAAAACATTGAAAGAATGTTTAATGCAAGGGTGGGGGGAGCCTTTATATCCCAGTTGCTGCCAAACAATCTTCCCTTCAGTCCTTCCGCAGGAGAGGTTCAGTTTTGCTTTGTGTTTCCAGTGATGCCTCACTATCAGGTGTTCGCAGATTTCTGGAGCTGTGCAAAAGAAAAAGAAAGAGGGTTTTTTTTTGTCAGAGGAAAAACAATAAAAGCTAAAACATTTTGTTGATTTGACTGGATTTTGTAAATAAAAAAATCTTTTGAAGAATTTCAGCACTGTTCTATATTCCAAGAGCATAGTAAGTGGCATTATTAAGTGTTTTTTAATTGCTTGCAGTTCACTTTAAGGGAAAAATACAGTCCTGTCAAAAACAAAATACACAAACAAACAAACAAAACAACCCCACCCATCACCTCAGACTTTATTACTTGCAACATTCATGAGCATAGATTAAGCAAAGATTACAAAATGATTAAAATGATTTTCATGCTAATGTTACAGCTCTACAATGCTGTTGGACATCCAGATGAAAATACATGGAATCATGTTTCAATGTGCATTCTGAATGGAGGTGGGATACGGTCACCCATTGATGAACAGATCAATAATGGTATATTTTAAAGGTTTATTTAATGCCACTTTTCACACTTGCAGTTCCCCTTGTCTTTTAAATATAGCAGTACTAGTCATTGTTCTAGCCACAGTGGAACAGGTTTCCCGCACTCCCAAACATAGGTAGAGGGAGAAAATATTATTTGGGGGGCTGTGCACATGCTCCCCCCCACACATCAGGTAAGTCTCATGGGGAAAGGGAGGGGGAGCAGGTAGAGGCCCCCACAGTGTGAGAGGGAGAGGGGCTGGGGAGAATGGGGCCCAGGTGTGGGTTGTGGGATACCCGGAGACTGGGTGGCTCATTCAGGGCCACGGGGGCTCCCACCACTGCATGCATCCTAGCAAAGGCCTGCTGGGCTCTGTGCCCTGCTGCCTGTGTCCCGAGAGCAGTACAACACCATGTGCCAGCTGCCACCGGGTGGGTAGGGGACGGGGCACAACCCAGCGCACAGATTGCCCTGCACACAGATCAGGGGAGTACGTGCCTTGCCTCCCCCCCACCCCATGCT